GGGCACGGCCGTACCATTGACACCCAGGGGCGGGGAGGACGGCGCCGGGACGGCTGGGGGACCTGGAGACGATGAAGCACAGACCGGTTACACTGAAGCTGCGACTCCCTCATAACTCTCCCCAACAAGGCCTGGACGGACCAGCGCATCCTCTCCGGGCCGGGCGGCGTGTAGTTTGTTCGGTTCCGCGGCACGCCCCTGCCCCGTTCCCGGGGTGGTTCAGCCCGGGTGGCCGGCGTCTCTTCCCCAGCTCGCGGTTCCCCCGTAACGCTCGGGACTTGCCGAGAGTGGGGACGCCGGCAACATGTCTGTGGCCTTCGCAGCCCCGAGGCAGCGAGGCAAAGGAGAGATCACTCCGGCCGCGATTCAGAAGGTGAAAGCTCGCGGGTCAGGGCCGCCGGATCCGCCTCGCTTTCTTCGGGCAAGACAGCATGGCAGGCTGGGCGGAGGCGGGCCTGCTGGGAAGCGGCCGCGGGGGCCCCCGGGGGCTTGAGCTGTGTCCGAGTGTGTGGCGGAGAGGTAGAGCTGCTGAGCTCGCGGGGGTCTTTCGCGCGTTTAGGGGTTTTTACCCATAGGCACAAAAGCCCAGTTGACCGCTGCCTGATTTCTCCAGGGACGGGGCGGTGTTCGCGAGGCGGGGCGCGTGCGCTCGGTGGCTGCGGGGGGCGCGGGGCCGGGCTGGGTATCGGCTCGGAGCCCCCCGGGGCCCCCAGCGCTGTGCCCCCGACTTTCTTCGGCGTCTCCCCGCCCCGCGTGCGGAGGCTGCTTGGTGCAGATCCGATCTTGGGTCGCGGGGAGGCAGAGGGGAGGTCGGGGCGCTCATCGCTTCCCTCCTCTCCCTCAAACTTCAGCAGAGTTGGGGAGCACCCTGGAGAATTTGGGGACGCCATCGGGCAGTTTGGTAAAGTCCAAGAGACAGGCGAGAGAGTCTCTTGTAAACTTAGGGCTTACCTTGTGGAGCTCCTCGTAATCATTTACGTCTACAGCAAATAGTACTTAATTAGCATCTATTTTTTGTTTGATCCCTGCCGTCCAGTCTAGTTGTGGATACAATCTGATAATGGTGACAAATTATAATTTCTGATAAGTAACTGCATAGAGAGCTGTGCCCCCTAAGGTAGTAGTAGTACCACGGCTGTGTTGGAATAGTTGGAGACACAAAAGTTCTTTATTGTCTTCCACTCCTTGTTGCCTATGAGCAAGGCAGCATTCTAAACTTCATTCACTCATACATTCTGAAAAATTACTTGCTCGAATTAGCCTTCTATCTGACTTTCTTTTTGGTTTTATTCAGAGATACAAGGGCGAAAATAGAAAAAGAAATTTTAGTACCACTAAGAACACCATTGTATCAGCAGTAGAGTCTGTTAATCAACTTCTGCTTACTGTCACTTTGTAAGTGTGGCATTTGACATTTGCCCAACTGTTGCCTTATTTTACGAAAAACTAGTTTGGCAGTGAGTGGAAACACAGTTATTCATGTAGGACGGTGGACTAATCTGGAATCTGAAAAAACAGCTCTCCCAGCGCCCTCAATTTCTTAAGGAGCTTTTTAAATGAAATTTTCAGCTGTAGAAAAAGTCATACATATATATGAGTTTATGCATAGATACTCTCCTGTAAGGAATCTCAAGGTATTCTTCGTTTTCATGGGTACAGATTATTTTAGAGGGTACAGATTATTTTCAGATGATAAGGGAAAATAGATTTCAAATTGAACGGCTCATTGTAAAATGAGATTAAAGACCAGTACACCCACGGTGAATTGGCTATGACATTGTTAGGTTGGGGATTAGATGAATACATTTTAAGGACACTTTGGGGGAGGACATTCTTGTCTCTTTAAGAACTAACTGAAATTATTGGAAAGGTATATTTTATCAAGTCAGTGAAAAATGATTCATGTGCTGGAAAAAGGACAAGTCAGATGGCTTCCTTTTGAAGTGTGAGAGTTAAGTCGCCGCTGCCCTAAATTATTGAGGTATAGAGATTACAGTATTGTCTTTTGCCCCATTCTTTCGTTGAATGGGGTCAGTGGCAAGTTCAGGAACATTAGTCACCAATGACTCTAGTTCCTTGCTTTTTTTACTGAAGGGCCCTTGAAAAGTTAAGAAGTGCTTTGTTGATGATAGAAAACTGACATTAAAAACTAGCTTTCATGTTGCAGCATCAGCATCCTTTCCTCAGTTCCACTTTGCATAGATAAACCATTCGCCCCTTAATGCCAGGATTGCTTTGAGTTGTTTTTAAGGTATTAGAGTAAGAAATTGATATGGTTTAGTTTTTAAACTTTTGGGAGAACTTAATTCTAAAATTAAGTTCATAAAGATTTCAGTAAGTGTAACATACTTAAATTATTTTATTACAGAAATTATTCTGTTTATTATACCATGTTTGTAGAATCACAGAACCATTCTGGATAACGTTTCCCAAATAGCCAGCAAACACTTCTGTTATAGATGTTGTTGTTGTATACCATAGTCAGAACCGGACCCATAGCTGACCCTCTGACAGTTTTCAGAGGCAGTTAATGGCACAGGGCTGGTGGCCTTGAACCAGGTGCCTTAGGGATTGAAGCACAGCTTCTTCTATTATAGATAGGAGAATTAGATATTTTTAAACTAGAACACCACATTTTCCACTCTAGATATTAGGTAAAAATCCAGAGGGAGAGTAATTGGAAAGAAATATTAAAAAAGAATTGTTCATTTTCCACTCTAGATATTAGGTAAAAATCCAGAGGGAGAGTAATTGGAAAGAAATATTAAAAAAGAATTGTTGATTAAACAAACTACCATTGCAAATATTTCAAATATTTTTTTTCTGTTAAGTTGTGAATGCTGAAGACTTGAATGGATTTGGTTACTATATGGATAAAACATCTCAAGAATTCCTGAGGGAAAAAGTCAGTTATTCACTGGAAAAAAGTTTTATAAATGAATTGAGTAATTGGTATTTTCAGTAGATTTAAAAGTTTTCTTTTTTTTTAAAGTTTTCTATGAAAAAGCCAAATTGTCTAATTTCACTATGAAATGACATTTATTAAAAAGAATTTAAAAGTATATATTAGCAGCAGTAGCAATATTTAACAAAAATTAATTTTAGGGAGTGCTGGCCTAATGGCAAGAAGCTGCACTGCCATCCCAAAGCTCCGCAGTTCAAATCCACCAGATGCTCCACCTGAGAAGGAGGGAAAATCTCCTGCTGTGTCATTCAGATCCTATTCAGTATACAACAAGGAAAAGAAAAATACAAGAAAGTGGGGGTGGGATAGGGTGAGGTGTGTGTAGTATTTTTTTAAAAAAAATAATTTTACTGGAATTTTGTTTTTATGTTACATAATGTGTGGTGAGTTTTAAAATGATGTATAATGCTTGCGTTGGAGTAATAACTGTATTTTTGTTAGGGTGTCTATTTTAAAGTTCTAAAAAGAATATTTATTAGTGTTTCATTCTCAGTTTTCTCATTTCTTTCTTTATATACTAAGTTTGTAATAAACTTTCTCTAATTTTATTTCAGATGTTGGATGAAAATAACCATCTTATACAGTGTATAATGGACTATCAAAATAAAGGAAAGACCTCAGAGTGTTCTCAGTAAGATTGTTATGACATTTTCTTAATTTTTTCTGTGCTGGTTATTTTTTTACTTTTTAAGAATGATTGAGAGAGAGTACACTCACATAGTAATTCACCTATTTAAAGTATACAGTTCTCAAGTTTTTGCTATTCTAACAGAATTGTTTAACCAGAATTATTAACTGTGATAATATTTTTTATTGTTTTCATCATTGCTCAAAAAGTTTTCCCAGCCCATTTACCATCATTCTTTACTCTTGTCTTCCCTTCCACTTAGTAGCAGACAACTGTTTACCTACTTTTCTGTACATTTGTCTATCATGGATATTTTATACAAGCAGAAACATAATAGTATGTGGTATTTTATGACTGATTTCTTTTCTTTTGGTTTTCAAGGTTCATCTCTATTGTAACGTGTGTTTACTTTGGATTTTTTTTATTATGAAATGAGTTTCTTTTGCATGACTATAGCATACACACATACACACACATATATAAAAAATCAGTTGATAGACATTTGAGTTGTTTCTCCATTTTTGGCTCTTGTAAATAATATTGTTTTTAATGATTAGGTACAGTTTTTTTTGTAATTTAGTAATTTTTACAAAAGAAAAATTTACTCTGCAGAAGTGGTTGAAGATACCAGTTTTTTTCCCTTGTGCTAAATCTGCCATTGCACTAATAAAATAATCTGCCATTGTATTTTAAAATAATGACTTTATTTTATAGAAAGTTTATATGCAGTCTTATGTGTGGAAAAGTGAGATCTTCACATTTGTAAGATAGTTGTATCTTAGATATGTGATATAGAAAGCAAAGCTTATATAAAATAGGGGGTTATCATTCAGAATGAAAGATTCTCATTTTGAACTGATTGATGTGTCCAAACCAATTGAATACTTTATTAAGTTTTTAGAATAGAAAGAGTATGTGAACCATATATACATATATATATATATATTTTTGTTTTGTTTTGTTTGTTTTTCTCCTTTATTTTTTAGTGCAATCCCTGGTAAGTATCATTGGCCCTGACTCATAGCACCTCCATCTCAAATGGGATTTTTCCTGATTTGTGCTGCCTAAGCGATTAGTTATGGATCAGATTGTCTGGATGTATAGAATTTTCATAAGTATGTTGCTAAGCCTTTCTAGTGGGTCTTCTTTTGGAAGCTCCCTGGAAACCTGAGTCTCACAGCAACATTCAACCCTCTACTGAGAAATGGTGGTGGTTGCATCGGTGGTGCATTGCCTGGGGGCCAGGTCATCCATGTGGAAAGTAACTTTTCTACTGCTGGGGCACCACTACCCTCAGTTGTCTGGTAGACATGTTAGAAAGTGAAAAATGGGTGAAATGAATTTTAATAAGATGCTTTAACTTCTGAAATCAGTTTTCTGTGTATAGTCAATATATAGTACAGGAGCTCTCATGGTGCAGTGGCTGGCTAAAAGTTTGAACCCTTGAGCTACTGTAGGAGAAAGATGAAGCAGTGTGTTTCTGTAAAGATTTACAGCTTTGACAACCGTGTGAGGTAGGCCTGTTCTGCTCTGTGAGGTGGCTAAGAGTTGAAGTTTTACTCTACAACAATATAAGTTGATTTTTAGTTTAGTGGGGTTTTTTTGTATGTGTATGGTCAAATTGGATCTGACTGGTACAGGAGGAGATTGCCCCTCTTTCTCCAACAGGGCATCTGGTGGATTTGAACCTCGTACCTCTGGGATTGCAGTGCAGCTTCTTGTCACCAGGCCACCAGAGCTCTCTGTGACTTGTTTTTTTTTAAAAATCTGTAAAAAAATATTAATGAGGAGCTCTGGTGGCCTAGTGGCAAGAAACAGCATTGCAATCCTCAAAGTGTGCTGTTCAAATCTACCAAATGCTCCACTGGAGAAGGAGGGGCAATTTTCTCCTGTACCATTTGCATCTGATTTGACAGCACACAACAACAACACACCAAGAAAAAAATTGAGATCTTTTGCATTCTCTTCTGAGTCTTTAGAATCCATTGTGTACTTTGTGTTTGAGGTGGAGAATAACTGTTCTTTGGTGGTTATGGTGTTGGACAGTGAATATTTAACAGTTCACCTTGTCTTGGAACATCCCCTGTCTTTCCTGGAGATCTCACTGGTGGACTCCTCACAGGCACATTTTTTTCACAACCCCAGCTTTTGTTCTGCCTGGCTTATAAAGTTTCTTGCTCTTGTTTATTTAATCTTTATCACTTGCACCCTGGGTGAGCAAATAGATAACATGCTAACCAGTTCTTGGAGAGGGACATCATGCTTGGGAGGGTGGAGGGACAACTCAGAAGGAGAAGACCTTCTATGAGGTGGATTGATTCAGTGACTGGGGTAATCGGGATGGGTGTGTTGGAGACAGTGCGGTTGGTACAGGACAGAGCAGAGTTTAGGGGTGTTGTACATAGGGTCGCTATGAGTGGCAAGTGACTTGATGGCATATAACAACAAAAACACCAACAGTCTGCTCACTGGAAGGTTGGGGTTTCAGGTCGACCCGGCATTGCCTCAGAAGAAGGGGTTGGTGACCCACCACCAGAAATATCAACCACTGGACACAGCTGTGCCCTCTCACACCTGAGGTAGCAATGAATTAACGTCAGTTTGATTATCATTTAACTGGTTCTCTCATTTAGAATCTTATCATTTTATCTTTTTTCACTTTTGCTTATACTTTTCAATTTAAAAGTATCATTTATGTAGGTTAGACAAAATTAATAAATTTTGAAAATTTGTAGAGTTAACAAAAGGAAGTCTTTTTATTTCTCATTTTGACTTTCACAAGGTAATTATTTAGTTTTTTTTAATACTTTCTGTGTTTTAGGTGAAATTTTATATAGCAAATTAGGTGCCTGCTTAATTAAATAGTATGGATTTTTCCAAGACATGATTATGCTTTTCCCAGTATGTCTGCATTCTTCTTTTCATTCTATCCTGTTGACTTTACACTAGCTTCTCTGCCCCTCTTTAACTTCTCAGGTTTGTTTTAAAGTATGGATTGACTGTTATGTGCCATTGAATTGGCTCCCACTTATAGTGACCCTTTGAACAGTGGATTTGAACCTAGTCCTGTTTTTGGGCCATCCTCATCATTTCCTATATTCTTGAACCCTTTGTTACAGTAACAGTGTCAGTCCATCTTGTTGAGGTAAATGAGAGTCTTTCTCTCCTATACTGACCCTCCACCTTCTAAGCATGTTGTCCTTCTGTAAGCACCGGCTCCTTTTAACAGCATGTCCAAAGTATATGAGACCAAAATTGTGAATCTAGAAAAAGGAACTTTTAGTCTTTTCTCTATCATGAAGTTCCTGTTGCCCCAGTGGTGAGGATTTAGTTTTCTTGATCTTGAGATGTAATTCATATGGAAAGTTGTAATCGTTGATCTTCTGCAACAAGTGCTTTAAGCCCTCCTTACTTCCTTTTCAACATGCAAGGTGTGTTATTCGTATGATGCAGGTTATATAGTTCAGTCTTCCTCTGATGACACATAATTCTTCAGAAGACTCTGAGTGCACAAAGAATTAAGCACTCTTTCATTAACATAATGGTTGCTTGAGCCCACCTAGAGATGTCTCAGAGGAAAGATTTGTAATCTTTTGAAAAGTCTGTTCTACTTTTCTCTAATAAGGTTTCTATGTGATCAGAATTGATTTAATGGCAGTGGTTGACTGTTGGATCTCTTATATTTTATTACTTGAGGGAACACATGTTAACTAGTTTTAATATTTTAGTATATATCCTTCCAAACATTTTTCTATGCATTTCTACGTAAGCACGTATGTCTATACAAACATACATGTATAGTGTTTACTGTTTCTAATATTAATGTAAGTTAGAGTTTTATGAATGCAGCTGCTGGGTCAAAGACCATGCTAAGACACCAGCTCACCCTGCAGAAAGATAGCATTATTTTTCATGTTGTTGGATTCCACCCATCCATGTCAACAGTGGATGATGTAGTAGTGTGCCTTTGAGTCCCTTCCGACTCATAGAACCCTGTAGGACAGAGTAGAACTGCAATGTGGAATTTTTCTAGATTGTACTTTTTTCCCCCCAAACTTTTGCTTAACACTCAAATACTTACTCATTCTCTAACATGAAGACCTTAATGAATATTAGTTATCTTTTTAAAAATGTTGCACATCTAGTTGGTCAAAAGTACTATTTTTTTTGACTGGAAGAGATCTATATTTGTTCCCATCCCAAAGAAAGGTGACCCAACTGAGTGTGAAAACTACAGAACAGTGTCATTGATTTCACATGCAAGCAAGATTCTACTGAAGATCATCCAAAAACGATTAGAACAACACATCAGCAGAGAACTACCAGAAGTCCAGGCTGGGTTTAGAAGGGGTCATGGTACTAGGGATATTGTTGCTGATGTTAGATGGATTTTGGCTGAAAGCAGAGAATACCAGAAGAATGTCTATCTGTGTTTCATTGATTATGCAAAGGCATTTGACTGTGTGGATCATAACAAACTGTGGCTGACTCTGAGAAGAATGGGAATCCCAGAACATTTAATCGTGCTAATGCGAAACCTATACTTGGACCAAGAGGCAGTAGTCAGAACAGAGCAGGGTAACACTGCATGGTTCAAAATTGGGAAGGGTGTACGCCAGGGATGCATCCTGTCTCCATAACTTTTCAACATGTATGCAGAGCAGATTATCCGAGAGGCTGGGCTCTATGAGGAGAATTGTGGCATCAGGATTGGTGGAAGGTCTATTAACGATCTGCGTTATGCAGATGACACAACCCTGCTTGCTGAAACTGAGGAGGACCTCATGCACTTGCTGCGAAGGGTCAAGGACTGCAGCCTTCAGTATGGACTGAGGCTCAATGTCAAGAAGACAAAGATTCTCATCACTGGACCAATTGGCAGCGTCAGGATGGATGGCAAAGAGATTGAGATTGTTCACAGCTTCAGTTTGCTCGGCTCCGCAGTCAACACTCTTGGCACCAGCAGTCAGGAAATCAAAAAGCGTATCGCGATGGGAAAGTCT